TCAGGCTTGTGATAGTCTACTATATAGTCAGTGCTCACCCTGATTATTTATAACAATGCTAGTTTAAAATATCTACAGTCAATCTCCCCATCTGTGGGTTTAGTTAGCATCCATGGATTCAACCAACATCAGATTGAAAATACTTGAAAATATTTCATCTGTAATGAACAAGTACAGATTTGTCTTTCTTGCCTTTATTCCCTGAGTGATATAGTGTAGCATCTATTTACATAGCATTTACATTACATTAGGTATTCTAAGTAATCTAGAGATGATTAAGTTAGGAAGTGTGTGTGGGTTTATTTTTCTGTAAGGGACTTGAATAGCCTTGAGTATCAGTACGCGGGGCCCTCGAGCCAGATCCCATGGATACCACAAGAGGACTATATATCATTATATTAAAGTTTAATCTGGCCATCTGGTATAAAAATTATATTACCAAAAGTCTTGCCGAAGCAATTATTTGGTATGCCTGTTCTCCAGTAGCATAATATCAGTTATTAAGTGGCTCTCCAGAATTCGTGTTTCTACTATTAATAGCTTTCTTCCAGTTAGAATCCAAGTGAATCAAAGTTCCAAGACTGTGACCAATCTTGAGTTTTATTAATTGCAACTCTATATTTGGAAGAAACTGAAAAGAACCATTTTGTCTACCAATAGTATATTGGCTAAAAGAATTAATAAATAAAAATGTTCTTTTTTACCATTCATACCTGCAGAAGATAGCTCTGCAGCTGGATAAAAGACTTGTGAAGATGTTCAAGATACGTTAAAATGGAAAAACAGTCCAGAGCAGTCTATAATCTTCAAGGACTTGTGTAAAACCAAAACACATGCTCAATCTATCATAGCTAGCACTAAGAGCTTCCTCTAGGAGGCAGGCAGAAGCAGGAATGGAAGTATAAAGAAGCTTTATTTATTTATTTTTTACTATATATTCCATGTATTTTTTAAATGGCCTGAAAATTTTAATGTGTGCCTGTATCAGCTAGTCTATAAATAAATACAGCAAGAAAAATTGCTCATTGGGTGAGCCAAATTTGATTGACTGTAAATAATGATACACTGTGAAATACTCTTAAACATTTAAATATAATACTTCCTTGAACCAAATCAAGTAAATGGCAATTTTGGTAGAAAGCAGAGGGGCCAGAATGTCTTAGCTGACCTTAAGGATTGAGGGGAAAAGGTCCTACCTCCAGGTGCTGCACTTGAGCCAGGCAATCCATGCAGCTCCATTGACCTTACTTACATGTCCTCCAGCTCCAGGGTTGGGCCATGATTCATGCTCTGATGCTTCCTAGTCACTTTGTCCCGAATCATTGGGAAAAGGGTTATAGAAGCCAGACATTTCAGAAAGATTTTTAGGACGTTGTGTCAGAGTAGACTTGAGTGTGTTAGGGTAGTACCTTGAGAGCACAGTGGAGGAGGACAGCATATGAGGGGTGGAGAACTGAATAACTGCATAACTGTAAGTAGTGAAAAGGTTTCATCAGATCCCATCCTTAATCCCTGAAGTTTCCATATTCATGAAAAGTCTGCTAAATATGGCGAATGGCCTTTTCCCTCAGTGCTGCAGCTGTGCTATTTTTGACTAGTCTCTATTTCAGTCTGGCAAGAAGCTTTTTGAGTTTTGGAGTGAGGATCGTCTCTATTGCCTTCTGAGGATCCCATTCTCTCTTTTTTTTTTTTTTTTTGTCTTTTTCGTTTTTATCGGTACCGGGGACCGAACTCATGACTGCCTGCTTGCAAGGCAGGTGCTTATGCCGCTGAGCTAAATCCCCAGCCCCCCATTCTCTTTTTAGCAGGGGAGAGTGTGAACAGTGAGGAAGCCAACAGTGATAGAGGTTTGCATTAGTCCAACAGTTCTTTTTAAGTAGAAATAATCTAGAATAGGCTAGCCAAGCAGCTCCTCCTTTGGGCCTCAACTGTCCTCTTCATAAATCAGACAGCCCTGTTAGCATTAAAACTTGCTATTTCTAACTGAGCCTGCTCACTGGAGTGTGTTGGTGGAAGCATACAATGCCCTGTTAATCTTTAGCCATGGTCCACTGTCTTTGCATGCTCCACTTCCAGCAGCTCTGTCAAGATTTGAAATGTTGTGTCCCTTTTCCCTGTTCACTTATTTCTGTGAAATTAGGTGGATCTATTTCTCATATGTAAAGTAGGACTGGCTTGAGACCAGGCTCCTCAGCCAAAGTTCCCTTGTGGAGGAGCCCATACTCTTTGTTTTAGGTTCAAAATCAAGTCAAATCATAAGCAGGCAAAAAAAAACCAATTGCAGTATTACCTAAGGGATTCTGAGCTCTCTGGCCTACCCCATGCTTATTGGCATGTTAGCTTGTTGCACTTCTCTGATTTACAATCTCACTGTTCAGTTTTTGGCTGTGTCTCCTTGGTTGTGTGGCTTTATCTCCTTGGTTGTGTGGTTTTAGGCTAGTTGCTAAAACCCACTTGGAGAATTTAGCAGAGTGGTGCTCCCTGGTACCTAACTTGAAATTGTTGTGATGATGGAATTCCATGGTGCATGTGGAATTTTTACTACAGTTACAAAGAAATAGAAGGTAGTAAAAACCTAGACTTTAGGACTACATTCCCTAGGCCACAGCCATTTAACATTGGTGACCTAAGTTTCAGTTTCTTCATTGGTGACATGCATATGTTCCTGGGAGCTACTCCCCCAGCCCCATTTTATTTTATTAGTACTGTATATGTTTGTGGTTCATAGAAAGTGTTTTGCAGAAATTATACTTGTATATATCACATCTTGATCCTTTTTACTTCCCCTTTCTCTCCCCAACTCACCTCCCTCATCCCTTCTCTACTTTCAAAGTCTCAATTTCATTAATTTTCCACTCTGATCTTTATAGCTTTTTTTCTTCTGTTTCAGATTTGAATTGATCTTGAGATACATCATTAAAGTTGTTTGGGATTGCTCTCTCATTTTTATGTATGCATTTACAAACTTCCATTTGAGAAGTATACTTCTTGTGTTTTCTATGCAAGTCTTAAGATGGGTTAATACTCTAAGTTGGATTCATTCACATCTGGCCAAATGAGTATACCTATCAAAGTTTCAAAGTTTGCAACTTGAATGTCCATATGTCAGGGACTTACTGAACACAGCTCTTAGAACTGTGCCTAACACATAGTTATTAATAAGTTATCTCCTATTATTATTATGACCTTCTTTTGTATTTTAGAATAAATGTAAGAATAATTATTGAATAGGCCATATTGGCAGCAGGCCCCAACTAACCTCAGTTTAGTTGTTCTGATAAACTTGAAGACCTCTTATAGTAATAACCATACTGAGGGGTACTACAGCAATTTATTGGTTGAGATTGACTGATGGAGCCTTTTAATACCATGATGGCAAATGGATCACAGCAGGGTTGGGAAAGATAAAAAGGTGAAGCAGAAACAGTCTATTTAGGGGGTAGTCAGATAAGAGACTGTTAAAGTAATTAATTGCCTATTTCAACACAAACAAGGGCTTCTTAAGTGAAGAAAGGATTTGCCACATGATAGGGATCTGCTTTCTCCCTGCCAGATGCTTCAGTTATGAAGCTATTGAAACAGGCACTCTCTGTCCCACAGCCCAGTAATTGCCAAGCCTCATCCCTAACTGGCTTTGTCACTGAAAAAGTAAATGGGATCATTCTAGGCTGTTTCTTTCTTCTTTCTTTTCTCTTTCTTTCTTTCTTTCTTTCTTTCTTTCTTTCTTTCTTTCTTTCTTTCTTTCCTTCCTTCCTTCCTTCCTTCCTTCCTTCCTTCCTTCCTTCTTTCCTTCCTTCCTTCCTTCCTTCCTTTTACTTATTTCTTTAAAAAATGGCAAACAGCCAGATTACTCTGTTCAGGCAAATGCTATCTGTAGTCTGAATACAGCTGTCACCTCAGTGACCTTATCTTTACACAGTAATAAGATGTTCTATGTAAGATGTACCTCTTTAAAAAATAGAGAACAAGATAACCCAGTTTTATCCCTTGACTTTGCATCTCGAATACAGTTTCTTTCCAGCCCCATCACCCGGCAGAAAGCCTAAACACTGTGCTTTGGCTTTCTTTTTTTTTTTTTTTGTGCTTTGGCTTTCTTAAGGCTCTCTGGGCTCACATTGCAAGTCTGAGTTTTGGATCCTTTTCCCAGATTTGGAAATACATGTCCATGTAAGGAGACCAGATTGTACAGCCTCTGGGGGCAGGCCAGAAGAGCTGTGTTTTGGTTTGTGGGCTTTTCCCTTCCATTAAGTGATATTAACTATGGAATTACAAATTTAGAGTATTTGAGTCAGAAAAGAGTGGAGAGAAATTTCTTGTCGGTAGAGGATTTTCAGGATGTCTGTGCAGAATTGTGTGCATGCGTGTGTGTGTGTGTATGTATTTGTTTTCCTGGAAGGCCATCCAGAGGCTTCCTCCGAGTCCAGGGAAGCATGGATGAGTCTCTGAGTCCATATCCTTTGTTATTTCACAGATGAGGCATTTAAATAATTGGCCCCACATGTCACAAGCCCCTCAAAACACCACACAAGGGAACAAGTGGTCTCCAGCTTTTATTTGTGCCAGTGCCCTTTGGCCAGGGTAGAGCATCTGAACAAGAGGGGACAATCTCGCCTCCCCAGACCCTTTCTCCACTGCCTCAGCCTGTTAGGAATATTGTGGTTGGTGGTCTTGGGGGGCACATTTGACCTGTACTTGCCTCCTGGCCTGTTTTCACTATTCCTTGTCTGCGCGTTCTGATTTCTGGGCTTGATGAGACACAGAGAGGAGATAGGACACATTTCCTTTCAGTTTCTTTCTTACTGTGGGTGTGAAAAATTAGGTTTTTTTAATGACCTCACATGACTTTTCTCTCTTAAAAAATGCACATCTATGTTCTTTATTTTTTATCTAACATTAGAATATTACTGTGGCTAACTCAATAATATTTTTTTATATGTATATGATTTCACATTACAAATTTAAATGCTCTAAGATGATTTAATTTCTTTTTGTTGTTACAGGTACCTCAATAACAATGAGTTGACTGCAATACCATCCCTGGGTGCTGCTTCAGTGCATGTCATCTCTCTGTCTCTGTAAGTGGTTCCACCTGAGGACCCTGGACGTGTGGTGGGGCTGTCGTGTAATCTTGCCAAAAGTTGGTGGCAGGAGAACTTGTGTTCATGTGTTCACTGGTAAAGAATAGCCTTTCATTATGTGGCCTAAAGATCATGGCAAGTGCCTTATTTGCTGTTTTGGGATTTATAGAATGAAAAGCTGGAAGTTCTGCCCCATCTGTAATTTGGGAAAAATAAGTCTTTTAACTGCCCACATGGGCATAGAATTTGGCTGCTTCTTGTAGGCAGTTAAGCAGTATCTTGGGTAAATAAACTGGAATGACATGAAAATGTGTAAGTTAATAATGACAAACTCATCTCTAAATGAACATAAAAGTGATGAATTGATTTTGATGTTCAAGTGTTAGATGAATCAAAACCAGTGTATCACTATAGAAAAAGATTATACAGGATCTTAGTCAAAAAAGAGGGAAAGCCATGGGATATTATCATTTACTTTGTCAAGAGCTTTTCCTAACCTGAGTATGGTGGCAAATATCCATAATCACAACACTCTTGGAACAGGAGGCAGAAGGATCCTAAGTTCAAGCCCAGCCTGGGTATATTAGTGAGACCCTGTCTCAAAATAAGAACTGAGGATATGGCTCATTGTGAAGTCCCTGGCTTCAATTCCAAGGTGTCTCCCCCATACTTTTCCTAGAAATGAAGCACCTGCCCTCGCTCCTTTTCTGCAGCCATGAGGTGGAGGTACTGGCTTCAAGCTCAACCGGAGGGCTCTCCGGATGTCCCAGGCCTGCATCCGGAGTGCTCACCTTGAGGTTTTATTGGCAGCTTCCCCAGCACAGCACCTCCCTCTTCATCTAAATTTCCTGTCTCTACCTCAGCCCTACATATTTTTACTTTATTTTTATTTTGCTAGTTCAGTAGTTGTTCAACTGTATATATCTTTTTCTCAACACCAGGACTCAGTCTGAGTGGAGGAATTTGGCAGGAAGGTGCTATCAGTAAGACTGCTAGCCTAGCTTACAGATCTCAGATTTGGGCTGGCACTTGTCCCTGTGTTCCCTGGGTGCTGTGGCCTGGTAAATCATGCTTTCACACTTAACCCTTTTCAAGGCCTGGTGAAGCTATAGGAGAGCCTATGAATTAAGAGTTGGGTTTCATTATTTCCTGGACAGATGATTTAATCTTATTTATAAAATGTGTTCTGACCCATTTTATATATGGGGAGAGTAAGGGCAGGGCTCCTGGGAAGAGGGAATGTACCTGGAGCTTTTGGCATCTTGTGAAGTGGGTATTCAGTATGTGGTGGCTGTTGCGTCTACCTGGTACTTAGTGTTGCCTAGCTCTGTGGCCTTGGTGAGATTTCACCTTTAATGGCCACAGCTTTGTGAGTCAGACCTTGTTGTTGAAGTGCTGCTGTGAAAGCTGTGGCTCTTGATGGAGAGGCAAAGGTCTGACTTTCTTTTTTGGATCTGCTTGGCCTGTGTGTTCAGCATCTGGAAGATGTTTAATTGCTGGCCAAATTAAATGAGCTAGCTTTATGTGAGGCTAATTAGGAATGTGCTAATCCTTTGTGTGTTCATAAAGTAGAGCACTTGAAGGTGCTTGTGACTCCTAGCTGCTGAAACCCCAGATCATAGAGTGGCAGTGTGATATCAGCTCCAGGCTGGTGAAAAATGCAGAATCTCAGGCCACATCCATCAGGAGCTACATTTAACAAGGTCCCTGGCGTCACTCACCCTTTACAGTATGAGAAGGGCTGGTTTCCTTCTTAGTCCTCCTTTGGTGAGGAAGCCAGAGCCATAGAAAGTGCTTTGTATTGCCAGAGAAGAAGGTGCCCTCCCCTGAAGATCTTCTGTGTTGCAAAGCAGTGAAGTAGAGTGAGACTGGATGCGCATGCCCTGCACGGCTCTCTACCTCCTCTACTTGGTGCAGCGGCGTGCTAGGTGACCACCACGTGCTGGAGGCAAGAGGGCCCTGTGCTTGCCCGCAGGGCCCATGGCACTTTGAATTGTCCCTTGCTCTTCTGACTAAAAATACATTGCTGCTCCTTGTTCCTGGTGACACGAGCAGTGGGGCTGTTTGGCCTTGTTCCTGCTATTCCATTAGACAGTGTTGAAATATGTAAAGCCAAAGAAGAAGAAGAAAAAGAAAGAAAAAAATCCCTCCCTGTTTTGGTTCATTTGGAAAACGCAGGTTAGCGTTGGCAGCCACCTCTTTAGCCTGGTGTTGATCTCCACCTGACTTGCTCAGTGATTTCCCTGAAACTACAGAACTAAAGGGTCTTTATCCTTGTTTTCTCTGAGCTGCCTGTGTTTCCTGTTCTTAGACTAGATGTTTGAATTTAGTGCCTGCAAAAAGTTAGTTTAGCAGTGTGATGTTTGACAGCAGGATTATAGATAATTTTGCTGTCCTCTTGCATGCCTTTCTGTATTTTCAATGTGGGCTATGCAAAGAACAAGGGAGAAAATAACAGAGCAGGCAGCAGATGGGTATCACTTTATAGCAAAAAGGACCACCCTTTTCATCCTGCCTGAAGAAAGGCATCTCCATCCACCATCCACGTGACAGTTACACTTCAAGTTTTGTAGAACATGTTTTTTCTTATGTGTCTGTTGCTTTTCAGAATTTAAGAAGTAAAAGGTATCACATGTAGTGCAAATATTTTGCTGGTATTTTTTGTGCCTTTGCAGTTGTGGCCCAGTTGCTACCTCAAGGTGATGTGAAAACCTTCACACATTGCTTGAGAATGTAGTTAAGTAGAATGTACAGGGCCCCCCACCGCCTTTTTTTTTTTTTTTTTTTTAGATAGGGTCTCCCTGTACAGTTCAGGCCGGCCCAAACTCACTGTATAGCCTAGACTGGCCTTGAACTCACAGCAATCCCTCTTGCTGGGATTACAGGCATGCGCAAGCATGCCTGGCCACCTCCCCAAGTTCTTGTTTCCCTTTAAGAGCAGGTAGAAGAGCAGAAAAAACCAAAATGTTTAGAGAAAATAGAACAGATATCTGTTGAGGCCATATAAGTTAGAGGAAGCAGGACAACTTTCTTGAGGCCTGTTTATAGATAGCTGCCTCAGGAAAAAGTGAGGACCCAGGTATATAACTTATGTCTTGTGCAGATGTGATGTGGAACAAGTTGCTTGTTTTGTTTTGTCTTATTTTTGTTGAATGGATTGAAACAGATGATGAAATAACCTCATGGCTTTCATAGCCTTTCTGTGACCAAGAAATTGAGAGTAGAGGCAATAATGTCATAAAAGCCGTCATTACCCCTCTGTTCTGGTAACCACTGTTAGTGATTTTTTTTTTTTTTTTTGATGATTTGTATTTTTTAACAGAAGCAGCAGTTTGTGATTTTCAGTTCAGACACCTGTAATTCTGGACTTTGGCTCTGGAAGTAAGCTTTTCCTCTCTTTAGCTGGAGTGCCCTGCGTTCCCAGGCACCAATTCCCCCTTTGCTGAGTGTCACCCTGGGGAAGGCCACATGGGAAGAGGTTTTGTTTTGCTTTCCTGGCTTTAATATCAAGGCTTCAAAAGAGACTTCCAGAGTTTTGGGAACTGGAGTCATGGTGCACAGTTTCTATTGGTTAATACTTTCTGATTAAAGGGATCTAATTCGCTTAAAGTATTTGTCAAGACAGATTTATTTGCATCATGTTCTGAAGATAATTCTGAAGCCATTTGTGCTTAAGAGAAAGCATAAAACTCAAGGAATGCTTTTAATAGGATTGGGTTGGAGTGAGGGAACTAATTTCATAAGTAGTTCTCAGAAAAGGAAGCAGCTTTTTGTAAAATAGCAACAGAATCTGCCAATAGATTTGTACATCAGAGATTGTAAAAAAAAAAAAAAAAATGAAGTCCAGGAAACACAAGTTATGATTCCCACGACAACAGTAATTTTGTCTGATACATAAATGACATTTCTGTTGAAGAAGAATTTCTATTTTTCTTATGGTGTTACTACGTTTTTATCATTGAGAGGATTGGCTGCAGTGGAAATGGGTTAATTTTTTCCTAGGAGTGAAGCCTGCTAGGAAATCGGCTTTGGCTCTGTCCCCATACAGAGATCATAGCTTACTTCCCACGTGGCCCTTGCACTGTCACCATACTTCACTTCCAGGTGGTGTGGTGCTTTTTAGAACTTACTGTTTTACTGTGCCATGTGCTTTATGCTCCCCAATCCATGTCCTCATTAGGTAGAAAATCTAAACAAAAACTAGTTGCACACAATTACTTACGACTTTGTAAAATTGCTTTACAGTTCCCTACCCTTATGTTGTGTTTGAAAACAACATGAAATATTTCTAATCTTGGAAGACTTTTTAAAATATTGAGGTCAAATTAATGTAACATAAATTTACACTTTAAATTATAATTCAGCTCCTTTTAATTCATTCTCAGTGTTATAAACCATCACTGCTATCTAATTCCAGATCATTTTTATCACGCCAAAATTAAACCTCATTTCCTTACACAGTTACTTCCCATTTCCTCGCAGCTCCTTATTTGAAAATGTTTTCTTCCTTTCTGTCCTCACTCACTGTGTCTCTTCCTTTCTTTGAAAGTCTTTTTCTCTTATGGTAATACATGCATATTAGTATTAGTCTGGCATATTAGTAATTGAATTACAAATCTCTGATAAGGTTTTGACTAGCCATTCTATTTTGTGTGGCTCTTGGCTAAATAAAAACCAATTAAATATAGAAGGATGGAATATCCCTTTATTATAACTTCTGGAGAATAAAATCTGGAAGGAAAGCAACATGGTGTCTTATCTGTGACAATACTCGGAGCAAGGGAGCCACGGAGTTGGAGTGTCTGAGGCAACAAAGCCTAAGCCCCTCTTGGATGGATTTGCTGGTGAAGTAAAATCAATAGGAATGCTTCACTCAAGAGTATCTAGCAAACCTCTAGAAAAAAGAGGAAGGAAATCTATCTTCTTTATAAGCTTGTTAGTGCAAAAATCAATTCACATGAAAATGTAATTAAAGAGCAAGTCTTGGAGGGGAGGAA